GGATGGTCACGCCGCAATCCCTTCTCCTCCATTCTCCTCTCAGGATCTTGGGCACGCACGCACACGTGCCTGGCGTGAGTTCTAAGCCACCAGGTCCGGGACATGAACCGCGGTCGACTACGTGGGAATCCAGTGACACAGCCATTACGCTAACTGCTGGTTCCCTGCTGCTTCCAGCTTTTATCATCATGACTCAAAAGTAAGGTTTGTTCCAGTCTGAGCCAAGGTTGTAAACAGAGCAGAGAGCGGCAGCCCAACCCACAGGGCTGTCCGTGTCTGTTAAGTGCTGAACAGGCGGCATCCGCAATATCATGGAGGCTGACGTTGCTTGGGTGGTTTTCCTCTGGAAACAATCTTGTTTATCCCATCCCAGGGCTTGTAAATTGGAAGTCAAATATTGCCTACAGGCATATTTTATTTGAGCAGGTAAATGTTGGGGGAAAAAGAAAACAACCTGGAATTTTAATATCTTTAATGACTTCCTTCCCTTTTTATTCCCTTTTCCTTTCTCTTCTTTTCTTTCTTTTCTCTTCTTTTTCCTTTTCTTTTTTTCTTTCTTTTCCTTTCCTTTCTCTCTCTCTCTCTCTTTCTCTCTTCCTCTCTCTCTCTCTCCCTTCCTCCCTCTAGTTCTTTTCATTTTTAAAATTCTCAAGAGGGGGAGGCACCTGCTTATCAGAGAAAGACAGAAGGAGAGAGAGAGAGAGAGAAGAAGAAAGCACCCTTTGCCCCACCCCACAGGGCATGGTCACACTGCAATCGCTTCTCTTTCATTTCACTATCCTGCCTGGGTTTGGGGCATGCATGCTCACCGGCTGGCCCCAATGGCAGATGACCTTTCCAAGGTATCTATTTGATCTGTGCATCCTTGTGGGAAGCTGCACACCAGCGAGTCTGCAGAGGTTTCTCAGAGAGCAAACAATTACCCTTCCAAAAACCTGACCTTCGAAACCTTGCTCTGATTGGCCACTAGAATCCCTCAAATTTGCATCTCCGGCACCTCATGATTGGTCCAAAAGCAACCAATCACAGCCCACTGTTTACAACCCACCAGAGTGTATATAACCATGATGCCTGGCCCACAATAGCCAGACGACGACGATGACCAGGAAGACGACAACTGAAGAGCCTGAAGAGCTGAAACACCGCGCAGTCTCCAGACGACCCTGAAGATCCTGAAGAGCTGACACTGCATCGTCTCCAGATAACC